TTAGCAGCTCAAGCATCGGAGATTCTATTTGACATAATCGAAAATTCCAACTTACTTTTATAAAATTGCTCTAACAGTCTGCAAAAAATAATAAGCCGGATCCAATTCGAAGATTAAGGAACAACGCAATCTGCAACAACTCAAATAGATAATTACATAATTTTAGCTTAGCTTATACTGTTTGTTATACATTAAACGCGCATGCGTAAATGTATTATGCGCATGCATACACGCATATGTGTAAAGGTATTACGCACATGCGTTGACACATGCACAGAAAGTTTGTAGCTTTGAGGTTCGGATTAACGACTTTTGTCTGTATCTGGAAAAATCCATAATCGCCCAAAGTCCCAACAAATCCAGATTTAGGACTTTGTACTATATTTCATAATACTGCTATTGTAGTAGATTTTCACATGAATGATAGCAGAAGAAGGTATCAACCTTCCAAAAAACTGAGTGACATTTCTTTTGTGATATTAGTTCACTGAAATTTTCAAGTAGTAGAATTGGTAGCATTTTGATTTGACTATATACATCAATACTTATGGACTCCTCAACTTAAAAGGACACCGAGGTCTAAGTCAGTCTGTTTTGTCTGCTTCAGCGTGCTTTGTTTTTATATTTTCATTAGCTTTGAACTTGCTAATTACTGACTGTTAAAAAACTATAGTACAGTCAAAAGTCGTTAATCCGGATTGGTCGGGAATTCGGTGATTCCGGATTATCGATTTTTCCAGATTATAGATCATGAGTTTAAATCTGGTAAGATGGCATGCAGAAATTATAAAATTAAAAATACGAAACCGTAATTTATGAAATGAGCAATTATGATTTAAAGGGTATCAAAATTTACAAAAAAAAGCGTAATATTTATTTGTTTACTTTATTAAACATTTCTTTCAATGTAAGTTGTTTAAGTTGCTTTATAGCTTTGAGTCCTTTGAGTTTGAGTTTGCTTTGTAGCTTTGTAGCAGAAAGTTTGTAGCTTTGAGGTCCGGATTATAGATCATTCCAGATTATGGGTGTCCAAATTAACGACTTTTGACTGTACCTAATGAGTACTTCTTTAACAAAGCAGGCCTACCAGCAGTAAAGCGCTGAACACTGGTAGTTCGGTCTGAAGTTCGATTCCCGCAAGCAGGCTGGTTGCATGGGCATTTTATTTTCATGGTTTTCCCCATGTGTAACGTGTATATGAGTCAGTTGCCCTTAGAAAGTCCTCTGCGAAGGCATCCCTTCCCTTAGGCAGATAGCCCTGGAGGCTTTGCTGTAATCACATAAACCAAAACCATTCTCAACAAAACTAATTCAAAAAATTAGGCAAACCTTCTGTTTGGTTTGTGTTTTGACCAAGACTATTGATTTCAAGCAGACTTCACTTCTTTGCAGAATTTCTTTAAATATTTCTGCTTGATGCAAATAAGGGAGCGATGTTAATTTGTAACATAACATTTGTAATTGGATACCCATACATCTAAATAAAAAGAAAATAATAAATAAAAGTCTGTAAAATATGCTATTTGATGCATATTTTCTTGTATTTTATCAAATAAACTGTACATCATACTTATACTTTATTGAAGATCTTTTTAAATTAACAATTCAAATCACAGTGGCTGTTATTAAAGTCTCACACTTTAAAATTGCTAGAATTATGTACTTTTATGAAACCTTTTGTGAACTTTTTGCCTTTTTCACTTGATGGTAACATTGCTTTAACAAGTGTAGTTTAAGCGGGTGTGATCAATTAAGTTCGAAATGGTGATAGAACTACACTGGTGTGCAAAAATTGCTACGAAAGCAAAATATAATAATGAAAAGTGTAAGTTTAATGCAAAACGGGCATCAAAACATAATTATAAAATTAGTGTTAATACAAAATTAAGTGTAAAAGTCTAGTAACTATGCAAAAAAGGTATGTTATGTATATAAAATTTTTGTTAATGTACACTGGTGTGCAAAAATTAAGGACGAGACGGTTTTTTCAATATAACTTTGTACAAAAGCTTTCCAAATCAACACATTTAATACCGTAAGATGCCCAATACGTAAGGACATGAGTAATGTAAGCAACACTTACTAAAAGAGAAATCAGAGGGATAAAAAGAAGCTTTATTGAAAAAGTAGCATGGAGCGCAATGCGACTGAAGGCCGAAACATCCCTGTGATGGGTGTCCAGCAAGAAACATCCGGTCTTTAATAGGGGATATGATCTTCCCTGACTGCTAGGCAGGTTTCACAGCGTCTGCCCATGCTGAGAATGAGGGTGTCAATGAGTTGTTGAGGCATTGCTGCCCATTCGTCTTGCAGCGCCAATCGAAGCTCCGGAATCGTTACTGGTGGTAAGGTACGAGCTGCCAAGCGTCTGCTTAGAAAATCCCATACATGCTCTACGGGATTGAGATCCGGAGATCGTGCCGGCCAATCCATACGTTCAATATCCTCACTCTCTAAGAGCTGTTAGGCAGCTACTGTGCGATGACATGGTGCATTGTCGCCCATGAAAAGGAACTGCGGACCCATAATGCCTCTAAAAAGACGCACATATGGAAGAAGAATCTCGTTACAATAACGGGTCCCGTTGACTGAACATGCATAGAAGATGTGAAGGTCTGTACGACTACCAAGCAGGATGCCTCCCCAAAACGAGAACACCGCCACCTCCATACCTGTCCCCTTTCAATGATGTTCGAGGGATGATTGCAGCTTCCCCACTCTCTCCAGATGAGTATGCGATGAGAATCGCTACTCAGACTGAATCTGCTCTCATCTGTAAAGAGTACTCATCCCCATTCATTGTCTCTCCAATTCCGGTGTTCCCAGCACCACAGAGAATGCCTTCTCCGATGGGGCAGGCATTAGAGGTACACACCGTACAGGGCGTCGTGCAAACAGACCACCACCGTGCAGTCTTCTGGTCACGGTAAAACGCGATATCGGTCGTCCAGTTGCCTGTGTCGTGTGTCTAGCAATTTCTCCCGCTGTCTGCCGCCTGTTTCTTCTGGCCTGTAAGGCAATATACGAGGGCTATCCAGAAAGTAGATTACGTTTTGGAATAAAAAAAATAAACAAAGTATAGGAAACAAATTTTATTATATACAGATGAAAGCCACACTCAAATACTACTTTTCTACATAGTCACCATACAAATTAAGGCATTTATCGTAGCGATGTACGAGCTTGGAAATTCCTTCGTCGAAAAATTCGGCCGCCTGCGCCTTCAACCACTTCGTTACCTCTTCTTGCCTTCCATCTTGCACAAAACTTGTGGTAACCAAGCTTTTCGCTGATGATTTCGTGCAACAAACTTCGCGAAATTTGTGGAAAACTCAAAGAAAGTTCCGTTATTGTGAAATTTCGATTTTCACGGACTTTAGCATCGACTTTTTCGAGAAGTTCGGCGGTCACTATGCTGGGTCTCCCACTTCGATCTTCGTCGTGAACATTGGTTCGGCCATTTTGAAATCTTATGACCCACTGACGCACTCCACCTTCAGTGATAATGTTGTCCCCATACACTTCACGAAGCTGCCGATAGATTTCTATCGGTTTACAGTTTTTTGCAGTCAGAAACCTTATTACTGAGCGCACCTCGCAGCTCGCGGGATTTTCAATTAATGCAGACATTTCAAACCGTCACAGTATCTGAACGGAGCACAGCACGAACCTCTCACTAGCACGGCTAGATGCAGACTGAGCTGCGCAACGCTCTGACCCCAAGATGGCCGCGCTAGCCCCGCCCCTAGCGGACACAGACGGAAACGTAATCTACTTCCTGGATGGCCCTCGTACCTGTCATCTGCGGGTGTGGTTCCTCATGGACGACCACTACTAAACCCCCCGGATAGCTGTTCCTGTAGTTTGAAATTGTCTCCAAAGTCGTGAAACGATGCTGTGAGCAATTCCGAACTCTGCAGCCACACTTGTCACACTGCGGCCTTCCTCCAACTTCCCAATGATTCAACCTCGAGTAAAAGCATCCAGATGTTGTCTAACAGATTGATTATTCCCCATTTCTCGCTGAGGCAGCAACTCGGTGTGATTTTAACTGCTATACGGCGTGCAATCTCTTTGCCAGAAATACTGATCTTACACCGACAACATGCTTTATACTACTCAGACACTTCCCCATTACGTCTACCTGCATATCTGCACATGTGCTACCGTACATCACCTTACTTAATCTCCTGATTGGTCTTTCTGTCCGCTCTGCCTCTTCGTTCAGCTGATATGCTAATTTTTCGACTTCGTCCTTACTTTTTGCACACCAGTGTATGTAAAGTAGCACAGTTTAAAGTATGTAAATAATTTTCTTAATTCAGGATGACATTTCTGTTATGTATGCCAACTAATTCCATAGTACACTTGGTGCATATTAGAGAGGTCCTGGTTCGAGTCCCAGGGAGGGCATTTCTAATTTTTCGTGTTTCCTACTTAAAAAAATCCTAATGACTCTATAGTGGCACCCAAACTAAAAAGTAGTGAATGATGATTCTTCACTACTAGAATTTGGTGATTGCTTCCCCTAATCTCCAGTCACCCTTTAAAAGGTAGTGTATGTAGGACATTTTCATTTTCTCCTTTCTGCCTGCCTTTACGTTGTAACAATACCACACTCACCACGTATTCGAGCAGTCCAGCTTCAAATCCTGGCAAGGGCATTGCTCATTTTTTGTTTTTTTTTTTTTTTTTACATTCAAAAATCCTAATGACTACAAATAAAATTTATTTTCACATACTGTGCTTTATGATATATTCATTGTATTCTCAGTTTTTAGGCATTTTTTGTATAGATTTCAAATTACCACAAGAACAGACTTATTTTTTCATGCCATGTTCATTATTTAGTAAACATTCAAGGAATTTACTACTTGTAACTGTGGGTTTTTTTCACGTGATGAAATTTTTTAAATGACTTGCTATTTTAGTTGACTACATTTTAACAGATAAATTTTTTCATTATATGAGAATACAGTTCGTATTTCTCTTTCATTTAGGAAATTGATGCTTTAACTGTTAATGAACAGCCTGCTGAAGAAAGTACTGAAGTTTCCATTCCAGAAGCTTCTTCAGAAGCTAAAGATGTTGAGGAAGAAGGCGCTAAAGATTCTAAACCAGAACTTCAAGAGGCCACAATTAATAATGAAGTGGACACTAATCAATCAGTTCAGTTAGCTGAGGGTATGGATAATTTGCAAGTTTTCTCATTGTTAGTTGAATGAATTGATGCTTCTGCAAATAATACTAAGTTACAGGGAGTGGAGAAAAATATGAAAACACTGAAATAGAAAACAGTGCTGTAACTAATACGGTGTACTGTTCAGGAATACTGTTGGCATTCAAAACAGCTTGCTGTCTTCTCAGAATGGATAAATAAAGGTCCTGTATAAACCATACAGGAATCTTGTACTGTTCTTCCTGTAAAATGTTGGCAAGTTGAGGTAAAGACGATGGCAGTGGACAGCCCACAAAAGCTCAATAATACTGATATCTGGTGAGTGTGGTGTGTGAAAGTTCATCTTTTTGCTGAGAGAAACAGTCCTGTATGATGTGAGTTGAATGAACAGGAGGTCTGTCTTCTTGGAACATGGCATCACCATTGGGCCTTGGGTTGATGTGATCAGCCAGAATGGGCACACAATCCTTGGCAGTAAAGTGACCTTGCACAGTAATGATGAGTATAGACTAGCACAATATGTCTTCTCAAACTATGACCAAACCCTCAACAAACAATCTCTATCATTTGCTTGGAATGGCATTTGCCAACGTAAACTCGCCCAGAAGTCAGAAACAGTGTGAAGAAATACTCATCTGACCCAGTGACTCTTCTATTGCTCCACAATTCAGATTTTATGATTTTGGCATCATTTCTCTTATTACAAGTTTTTTAATCACTGATGAGTGGCTTTAAATTGCAACTCACCCAAAGGTACGCTGGTTTTGGAGCTCCCTTATAGTGTTTCAGTGCTGGCATGGTTTGCGAGTGCAACAATAAGTTCAGCAGTCACTTTTGTGGCTATAGTCCTCATATTTTTTTATTACACAATCCTCTTCCGTGGTCATCTGTCATGATCACTCAACACTCGTTTTCAGCAGTTCTATGAATAAGCGGATGCGATTTTTCTGTATGAGTTACAAATCTTAGATATTGTGCCCCTTGAAACGCCAAACACTTCAGGTACCTTGGTTATGAAAGCACCCAACATACGAGACCAGACAATTTACCCACATTTGAATTCATTTAGCTCCAGCATAATGCATTCACAAAATGAGCACCGCCAGCAACTTTTGCTAGAATAAACATTTCATTTCTAGCATGCATTTTTATGAGGTGTTTCCATATTTTTGTCCAACTCCTGTATTTTTTCCATGTATAGTTTTCCTTTCAGAAGAAATTAGACTATTTTCCGCAAAAGTTGTATTTTTGTTAGAGAGATCAAGGGTAAAATACATAATTTTGCTTAAAAAAGGAAAATTACGAAAAAATAGAAACAAAAAATTTATATATTCGCAAAAAATAAAACAACAAAAATACAAAAATAAAACACAATAAATTCATTTATGTATTCACAAAAAATAATATATAAAGGAATAAGGAATACAGATATTCTTCAAACATCTGTAATCAAATAAATTACCAGAATAGTACAAAAAAATCGGGAGCTTTCTGATTAGCTACATCAAAAAGCCGTGAACTCGCTGCTGCTTTTGGAAAAGCGTCCTCATAACGAAAAATATACAACGAATTGCCAAAGGAACAAGCATCACAAAAGGCTTTAAACGTATTGAGAATGGGGAGAAGAATAGGGTTTCAGTAGAAACATCATCCCACCAACCCACCATGGAATACGGGACACAGATAAAAGATATAAAGATTTTGTCCTCATAAGGTTCATTATGCTGAAAAATGAAATATAGGATTCGAAGTACTTAACTTTGCCGCGCGGGGACTCTCCGGAAAAAGAAGTTGAGGAATTTTTTCTCTTCTCCTTCAGAATTTGAGTGGCATCAATGATAAGTGAGATTGGCCGTAAACACAAAAAGGGACTACAGAACATACATGGAGGTTAGGCGAGACTCAAATCGAAGGTGCATTAAATAAGAAAATGATTAGGATTTTTACCAGTATAAAAAAATGGGGCTAATGAAAGTTAAACATGCACAATGTATATCACTGAAGTTACAAAAATGGGCGGTGGTCGGTATTAAAAAAATTTCTCCATACTCTTCCTTTGAATGTTTGAGGTGAAAATCCCCGAGAAGGACATTGGTTGACCTCGATCGGTGGTCACGACCCTGAACAATGTTTAGGTGGCGACTTGTTGTCTTTTAGAAATTGTTTCAACAGCAGAGGTATTTTAGGTACTAAACAACAATAAAATGCAAGCACGTAAAAATTCGCAGATAAAGATTCTCTGAGCTCCAACACACTTGTCCAAACTAGGAGTAAGCTGAAATGGGAGGGTTTAAAGGGATGTAAATAAGAGTGTAATTAAAAATAGAAAGCGCGTAGTTTTATTTTAAAATATCCTGGAAAAAGTATGAAATTGGTAATGAAAAATGATCCGTACCAAAAAACCAAAAACACCAATGCCTTATGAAAAAACAAATGTCAAGCCAAAACACCAAACTAAAAGCCACGGACCATACCAACGATAGCGCTGGAATGGTACATTTGTGTAGCACAAAGAACATCAAAGTACATGTGCGAAAATGCAATGTGGGTACAGGCATGTAAAAAGACAAAACATGCTTTGAACGTGTCACACACAAAAAAAAAATTGCCTTTAAAAAAAAAACAGAGTCTTTGTTATTCGAGTGTACCGAGGTGAGCCATGTGCCACAGACCTTGTTATGTAGGTACTTATACTTTCACTGCTATAGACAAAACATGTTTTTTTTTTTGTAATGAAGATTTAGTTTTGAAAATATATAATTATGCAATTCTTATGAAAAAAAAATCGAATTTGTCTTATGGAAATATGCACGGAAAAGGTAAGTTTTTTTTTTTTTCCCTACACCTAGGGGAAGATCAAAGTCCTATGTGCAGGGTTTCACAGTGCGACCACCACCCACAAAACAATGGGCAAGAGTAGATTTTTTTAAGTCTATATTATTTGTCTCTGGATCAAATATTCAATTATAGAGATTTAGTTAAAAAAGTTATAAAAATAATATGGGCAGTCAATAAGGGGAAAAAGTAAATGATCAACCATGACTCGAGCCAGTGACGAGTGACATAAAAGATTCGCAGTAATGTGGCAGTTTAGTTAACATTTCTTATCTTAAGAAGCGCATTCTTAACATGAATTTCACAGCGTAATAGGTGAAATCTTTGTGCTCAGTCTTGACCATATTTGTACCTCCTTAACATCTTTATAACTGTTAATTTCAATAGAGAAAAGAGCAGCAGGCAGTAGTGAGTTGGCAGAAAAAAAGCACGAGAGAGAATGTAGTATTTATAAGGTGGAAACACAGAATGATCTGGTTTTCATTAAGCTTTATTTTGATTGGCTAATTTTTAAGTTTTTGTTTCCAAATTTAGAATTATTGCTAGCTGAAGCATTATGTAAGTATATGCATTACTAGTGTTATGTAAGAAACATGCAAGAAGGTTAAATTTTGAAATGATGCGGTTTATGGTGATTTATTGTAAGTAGTTACTATTTTTAGGATAGAAAAGCGGAATAATATAGAATGATAAAAAACTGTTGCAAATTTAAAGTTAGAATTTTGATTTACACTCTATCTAGCATCTTATATGTACACATTATTTGTTGCTATTTTCTCAGTGTATGTTTTCTTGTTCAGGAATTTACTGTCCATGGCAAGAAATCTGTGATGAAACATCTGGTTATAATTATTACTGGAACACACAAACAAATGAAGTCACATGGGAATGCCCACCAGATTATGAAGCATATCTGAAAGCCAGAACATCTGATGAAAAACATTATGAGGTTCATTTGAACGTCACAGAAGTACAGAAAAAATCTAGAAGAGGGAAGAAAAGGAATTTACTAGAACCTGCAAATCCTGAAGGGTGAGAATTCAAAGCAAAATTTTAGATGCTTGCTGTAATAAGTGAAATGATTGCTTATTTAGTTTAATAAACAAATATGCAGTGTACACATAGAGCAAATATCAGGGTTTGTTTCTCCTGCAGTAGTGATTTAAAATCTATTTGAGGCTTTTAAGCTTTCTGTGTATTTGTTAAGGCAAGTCATCATGTAAAAATTTAATGTTACTGTATGAAATTCATTTTCATATTAATACACAAACTAATTAACTGTTAAAGCATTCTATAGCTAAATGCTTTGTAGGGAAATGTGATGAATAAGGGAAATTTATGTGTAAAGGAATTCATATTTAGAAATCTTCTGTGAAACAGTTTCCGCTTTAGTGGCATGTCTGAAGTAAGCATGACAGAGTTCAATTCAGGCATATAATTTAAATTATATCATTTGGGAGATTATCTAATATAGAGAAATATGCATTTTTTGTAAAAAAAAATAGGTTATATAATAAAGAAATCAAAAGTCAGTATACAGCTGAAGCTACAAAGTATAAATAGATGAGAAATATTTTCAGAAATCCTGGGGGAATTAAGCTTGAATGTTATAGCTTTCTTAAATTGTGAAGTGAGAACATTAATAGATTTAAACCCAACTATCAACCCTGAGTTACTAGTATTTCTTGATAAGTATTGTTGCGTTCTACAGGTTCGTGGACATGGAGTGATTGATGACAACACTTGATGAAGAATCAAAACACAATTTATTTGTCAGTATTACACAAGACAGTTCCAAAGATGTGTTACAGCCATCAAAAAACTATGACAAACCTGCTGAAACAATCAGCAACACAGCCATCAGGCTGTAACTGTGAAGACAGCCTCATGGCCAACCACTAAAATGCAGCTCCCAACTCAGTCAGTCGCTCTTGAGCTAATCTTTGAACTCAAGACACTACTGTTGAACTCAACATGTTACATTTGCCGTGCACAAGCAGGGTATATATAGCTTTTAATCTGCCTTCGGGAATATTCCCAAGAAAAAGTGCTAAGAATTTGTTCCAGAATGTTCTTGCTCCGTCTATGGCATATTGCCAATTTTGTCGCCAAACGAGCGATTTTGCACCAAATCTGATAACCCTGCCTTTCCCTGCTATGGGGAGCTATTTTACCACAGCTGGGCATTTTGCAACAGTATTTATAAGAAATCGCAGATGAGGTAATTCTCAGTTTCATAATTTAGCATTTTTTATGTGCTGTTTAATTTTTAAGCTTAGTATTTGTTAAAAACAAAGAAACTTGTATGCTTCAATCTAAAAAGCACATTCATCTCAGTTTATTGTATAATTAGTCATTAATTTTTTTTGGCACTAAATTTTGTTTTAGTATTTCAGAGCTTTATTGAGCTATTGAATAGACTTAATGCATCTAATGTGAAATTTCAGTACATTTTAAATTCGGAGATCATATCTCATTATGTATTAATTAAATATATATGTTTAGACTTAAATAATATACATGTATGAGAAATGCATGCATTGGAAAAATCTTGTCTCATCCTATTTTACAGAGTTTAGTAACCAGAATTGTTGAAGTATGGACTTTTAATTAATTTGCTCTAGTAATTGATCATTAATGCACAATAATAAATGATAAAATGTGTTTAGGGTTTATTTTGAAGTTTCATATGACATTCATTAGCAAGAATTCTCCTCCAAATTGATTTAAGAATGTTTAAACTTTCTTGATTTTCTGTGTTGTGAGAAGTTTATTTGTAAATTTAATGTAAATCTAATAGCTGTTTATTTTTCCCCCCAGGGCTGTCATTCCCATTTCTTCTTTTGGAGGTTCATCATCTGATGAATCTTCTGGTGCTGAAAGTGAGAATAGATTATTATCTAGTTCAGTAAACAAAAGCTTAAATGCCGATTTGAGGCAGAATTTAAAAACTGACCCAAATATGCCTTCTTCTTCAAAAAGCAAAAGTTTCAAGGAGGATAATGACTATCAAGCAAACTCTAGTGAATATGCTGAAGTAATTGGGCCACAATTGCCACCAAATTTTAATTTCCCGCAGAGTGTTCCATTACAACCTGAAGTTTCTAGGTTACCAAATTATTCAGCGTCTTCTAAAAATGAAGTTGAAGAATTTGTGGAAGTTGGACATCAGCTACCTTCTGCTGCAACAAATGACTCATCTGGTGTTATGAGTTCTGCTTCTGTTATGAATACTGAAACATTAGTTAGTGATAATATTAATCCTTCGCAGTCACATACTAATGGATTGTCTGTTGCATCTTCTTCATTAGAAAATTGCTGGAAAGGATCTCCTGTAAAAAACACTGAAAAAGCAAATAAAAGTTCAGTTAGAGAAGTTGGAGAAGAAAGCCCAGACTCTACTGTAAGAAAGGGGGATACTTTTTCAGAAAATGGTGTTAGTGGAACTGCAAATTGCCAGACGAGTAGTAGCACTAATCCAGTATGTATTTTACTGAATTGGTAACCACTTTAAATTCTACACATTTATGATATTTTAATAGCAGTACTGCAGTTTTTTTAAACATAATTTTCTTTTATTTTATTAAAAGTAGTATTTTTCTGAAGTTAATAAATTAATAAGCAGTTTTGTAATAATTAGAATGTCAGTGCTTCTTTCATGTATGAGAACCTTTGTAATTATCTTGAGCAGCTTGTAAGAAAAGAGACTTCAGATTTACATCAATTTTTGATTTCCTATTAATACCTGTACTTCTTAAATATTAGTTACGTAATTAATTTAGTATGCAGCTCTGTGAATCATTTTTACATTCATTGATATTCTTTTTCTTCAGTGCATATGAAAAATTTTCACTAATCAGGAGTAATGTGATGGAAGTCTTACATTTAATCTCTAGCAAAATATATTAATGATTTAAATGTAAAACATGCATTTATTTTTCAGCCATCCCTCCTTTAAATTTGCAGAATTTAATACTGTTATCAAAGTTAACACCTTTTGCTAAACTTTTACGAGTATTAACTTATCTTAATTTCTTTAAAATTGCAGCATATTAAAACTTCATATCATGTGATAAGATCTCAAGTTAAAAGAAATATCTAGAAAGTTTCTTTTAGTCAGTTATTCAGTTTGTGGCTAGATGATTATAAACTATTTTATATAACTTCCAGTATTTATATCATGTTAGACAGAAGCTGAGATCTGCTTGTATAGTTTTAATTCATGGCTGAATTTAAAGATGGAAATGTGAAGCCTCTGGTGATGCATTCATCACATTTGGCAGTTAACTTTATATTAAACTATGTTTAAACATTTCAGTTAATTTAAGCAAAAAAGTGTTAAATCAAATAGAAAAACTCATGCTAATGGCAGCACAAATGAAAATCTTCAGGGTATTTGCCCCATATGCTGAGAGCAAAATGACTTCCAAATTTCATTGGCAATTTAAGTGATTCAGTTTTTTTCAAAGTGAAAATTTAAGATAAATCAAGGCAGAGTTCACGAGAATGTAGAGAAAAACTTACACCACAAGGCAATGGTAGAAGGTGCATATGTACAGCTAAGCTGCAATTGGTTATTTTTAGGTTTCAGCTGTGTTTGCAAGCAGCACTTTAGGTTTTCTGTTTGCAAGCAAAGATCTCGAGTTTGGAAGAAAAGATGAGCTTAGGAGAACATAAAATTTAGAATAGTCAATTGAGGTTGCCAATTATTTCTTAGCATAGCCATCGTATTTTATTATATCTTACATATATAAATCAGTGTAGACAATAAGTAAGAAATTTAGAACCAACTCCACAAAGATCCAAAAGAAATGAAATTAAGTACCAATAAATTTCAAAATTCCCTATAAATACATAAAATGTAAAATTAACCAAAAGGCAGAATAATAAAAGAAATGTGAAATGCTGAAACTTGGAACCATACAAAAACCGCAAAAAATACGTTCATAGGAAGGAAGAGGAATGCAATCAAATCCGATATAGCATTATCAAGAGTACATTAGATTTGGTTGTATCCCCTTACCTTGAAAAACCACTGCATTTCTGTTACCCAAAATTAGCTGATGAACCATTCTAAGTTATTTAATTTTATCAGTTCACCCAAAAATTTTGAGTTCCTCCCTGATGCAGTGTAAAAAGTAAAATATCGAGACATATTCATTAGTAAAAATTATAAGGTCAACTAAAGCAAAAAATCTTTATTAGACACTTTTTATTGAATTTAGAATTAAAATGAATACAAAATATTCTAATAAAATAACAGAACATTAATATAAAACTTACTCAGTTTACACAGGCAGTTCGTTAGATTGTCGATACAAATAGCATCCGTATAAAAAGCATCCTAGTATATTTTTTCCATCCATCTTATTTTTAATTTCTCATTGCAAGAGAATCCTGCTACAGTCAAATCCCTTACTGAAACTTTCTTTGCATTGAGGAAACCAAGTTTCTACATTTTTTCCTCTTCGTTTTTGATAATAAATAGACTTTTCATTGCAGTCATTTAGGTAAACCCATGCTTTATTAAAGGTAATGATGTATTTCCATTTAACTCCTGCTAAATAGCTTTCGCACAGGATTCTACAAATTGTGTGTAGAGCCACAATCTTCAGCAAAAGCTGGTGAACACTATTTTTTAGCTTTCTTAAGTTGCAAATCTTGATTTAATTTTATATATTGTTGCTACAGATGTATTTAAAGACTGCCTGATATCTGTGTTGGCATATTTTCTCTTGTTACTAACAGTTTAACTTTAAAAGCATTAGAAACAGCATGGTTCTTTTCCGGGTATTTGTTTGTTGTCTTTCAACCCATGTTGAAATAATGATTGACAGTTCTTCTCCTTCTGATTAATAATTTCGCTTGTTTTGTGTTTATAAATTTTAGTACCATGCATTTCACAATGTTTTTTAATTATGGAACAAAAATATTTCTCTTACAGGAAGTGGAGAAACATATTCTCCAGTCAGTATATCGTTTACGTGCAATCTTGTACAGAAGACTAAATTTTTTTTGTGCCGGGCTTTTGCCACTACTAAGGCCAGAAGTGGTGGTCATTTATTATGGAGGCACCTAATAGGTGGCCACCATCACCTTCTGTGAGGAGACGGACAATTTACATCCATGCCTTCTCTGGGATTCAAACCCAGGCCTTTTGGTATTGCAGTCAGCTCCCCTAACCATTATACCCTTTGGGCGGCTTAGAAGACATAACTGTAAAAGTTATAAATGATAATTCTCATTTCAAATAATGAGCTGTTGCCAGGAATTTTTATTCAAAGACTTGCACTTTTTTTAAATTCTTTATCAAAATCATTTTTAAAATGTGTAAACCTCCTCTCTATATATAACAATATATATGCATACCTTTGTTATTTAAAATAGTGCATAATCTTTTGAATTTTTCTCTATGCGGTATATCTGAATATTTGTGATATGCCACCTTATGAGATCTAAATTTATTTCTTCATTCTCTGCAATTTAAGGTGACTTAAAACAGCTGAACATTTTCTTTTGGTGCTGTGTGTATTATACAGTAATGAAATATTTTATCTTGACTTTAAATTTTTATGCGGTTCTTATATGTCCTATTTCACAAAAGCGCAAATCAAAAGCAGTTTGAAGTATTTCAAATAAAATTAATTCGATACAAAAGCAACGTTAAAGAAAAATTGATGGTTATTTGGTCTTTTGCATATAGCAGCAGAAAGGATTATCGATAGAGCTATGTTTCTGAATGATATTTGCATGAATTACAGAAGAAAAATAATCACATGAACTTTCCTGTTTAAGTAATAAAATCCAGGTCAACTGTTAGGCTGAATAATTTGTGTGTGTGTGATTTTTTCCATGTGTAATTTGAATACGAGCTAGTTTTCCTTAGAAAGTTCTCCAGATAAACATCCCCCTCAGATGAATAGTCTATGAGAAACTATGTGTTTTGCCATATTCAAATAACTTAACGTATCAGGCCACATAAAGTAAATAGTATGTATCAGCTTTTACAAAATAAATAAGGGAAATTAATTTAAAAAGTAAGCAATTTAAAAATAAGTTAATTTTTTTTTATAAATTTCTTCTGGAATAGCACCGCTATAAGTTGTTAAATCCACTTATTAATTTTTCATGTTGAATGGACAGAGAGCTGCTAACATACACTGACAAGCCAAAACTTTATGACCATCACCACATTTTTCAACGAACACATCTGGATGACGTGGAGTGCGCGACATTAATTGGGAATGGTATTTAACTGCTGCTGGAGAACGTAAGGAATCATTCTTGCACTTTTGTGAGTGGGCTGCTGATCTAAGTAAATTTGATAGAGGGCAGATTGTAATGGTGTGAAGACTTGGAATGACTATCTCCAAAACAGCACTACTGGTTGGTGGATGTTGACAGTCTGCCATTGTTGGTATTTATGCAAAGTTTATAAATGGCAATGAAACCATCAATAGATGCCATGGTGTTGGATGTCCATGCATCATCAAAGAAAGAAGACATCATAGACTATCTTGCTTGGTACAGCAAAACTGGTGCTAGACAGTGGCTCAGTAGGCAGCCCAATAGAATGCAGGTTCAAGGGAAAGTGTTTTGGAACACACAGTCCAGCAGAAAGTGGCAGATATGAAACTGCACAGCAGACCTCCCATTTGTGTGTGTCTGCTTAAGTGTCACTGTCAACTATGCCCAGAATGGGCTCGAAACATCGAAACTGGACCATGGTTAAGTGAAAGACAGTTGCCTCGTCGGATTAATCACGATTGCTCATTCATCATGTCAATAGTCATATGAAAGTGCGCTATCTTTCAGGTAAACAGTTGCTTGTCTCTGTACAGTAGCTTATGGTGGCTCAGTACAGTAGCTCAGGCTGGTGGTGGCGCTGTTATGTTTTGGGGGTCGTTCTCATGGGTGGCTTTGGGACTCTTAGTGTTAGTAGAATAGACCATGAAAGCTGCGCACTATCTGAACATTACTGCAGATCAGTGGCACTCTTACATGGTGTCTGTCTTCCCAATTGGAAATGGAATCTTCCAGAAAGACAGCGCCCCATGTCACAAAGCTCAAATTGTGTTGAACTGATTCAAGGAGCATAAGGGTGAATCCTAATTAATGTCCTGGCCACCCAACTCACCAGATCTTGACCCAATAGAGCACATTTGGGATGTCATGTATCAGAAATTTGCGGGCCAAAGGCCACCACGTTGAAATATCTCGACTTTGTGTGACTGCTGCTTAGACATTGGTACAACTTGTCTCCAGTCATTTACCAAGAACTAGTGGCATCTGTGCCAAGGCAAGGTTCAGGGGTTTTGCAGGCCAAAAATCACGCATATTATAGAGTAGATGGTAAAACAACTTTCATAATTTATTGGAGTATTTAATGTATAAATTTTTATTAGTTTGACCACTTTAGAAAACCCTTTTAAAATAATACAATGTTCACATAATCAGTGAGTTGATATAGGTATTTGAAAATCATCTGATTGCAGTTCACTGCTTTCATTTGCAGTGTAATTATATTCATTATGAAATGTGTATTCAGTTCATAAAATAATCAAAAAGTCATGATGTAAAACATTTTGTAACACTTTTTCATATTTATCATCAGAATGTTGTTTTTCTGCATTATTCAAGTTAAGAAGGATATAGTTTAATAAAGGTTTTACTGTACTGTAAAATTGTGTGTGTATATTTTATTTGATGCAGTTAAATTGTAAGAAAAAGTAATGTATCATTATAATTTACTTTCAGAAACATCGGCTTATTGTGGAATATGACAGTTTTACAGATGAGGATGAAGATGGTAGTTTTTCAGATATTTCATCATCTAAACAAACTGTTAATTCTAAGAATTCTGTGTACCAGAATTTCAGACTTGCAGGAAATGGAAGTAAAAGAGAAGGGGTTAATGACTATAACATCGATGATGATCAGCAAAAAGTTGAAAGTAATGTATCAAAAAGGAAAATTTCAGATGAGCATATGGAGAAGAATATGAAAAAAGCAAAAGATGAGAAGAAGGATTTTCTTGATATTGACAGTCTTTTTGCTGCACATGCATCCTATGGAAAGTATGGCTTTGGATTCAGCAAACAGAAACAGTTGACTTTGGAAAATGACTTTTGTGCTGTAGATAATGATGCTTCTAAAGTAACATCTGATTCTAAAGCAGTGAATTTTGTCAAATCTGATCATGTATTTGAACTCAATACTTTAAATGAGAATATTTCTTCCTCTAAGAGTTTAAGTAATTCACATATTGTTGAAGAAAAACAGCAACTAATATCCAATGGTAATTGTGATCTGCCTCCCAGTGAAACAGCTTTACAAAAGTTAGATCGTATATTAAAAACAGAATTCTCAAGAGAAAAAAATACTGTGGCAGAAGTAAGAATTTTGACTTCTGGTAAAAAGATTAAAAGTCCATTTCCTGCTGAATTAAATATTGATTTAATTCGAAAGAAAAAAGATACTCTTTTACAGGAAGGAAGAAATGCCCTTTCTTATAGCAGCATTCTTTCTAGAAAATTGGAACCTGATATAGAAGAAATAGACAAGGCTTTATGTGATGCTCTCGAAGCCAAAGTAAGCTTTCCTTTTACTGTATTGTATATACCATTTCTATCATTACAGTGTAAATTTAGCATTATATTAATATCATTTGTGTCATTGCTGTATAAATGTAACATTATTTTTAAGCATTATTCTAAAGCAAAATACAGTAGCTTGAATTGTATAGTCACAAAGTTTATCTCTGAGCATTATCACAATCCAAACCATTCCAAAAGATTGACAATTTCACAGATAATTTCCTTTATAGCAAATATAGTCTGTTTTTGTTATTTGTATGTACTTGATAATATGCTGTTTATTTCCTAATGCAAGTGATGTTTTTTATTGTAGAAAGCCATGGCATCTCAAAATTCTTTATCAAAGCCCTCTTCTTCAACTTCCACCATACCTACTGTTAAAAAATGTTCTGAAATTGCCAGCAATTTAAGTGTAAAAAATAAAGAAACAGGTTTGTAAACTTTTCAGTATTATGTATGTCATTATGTGTATTTTGGAAAATATATTGCAATCGGGATCAGTCAAGCAGTATACTGCAGTCAAATAATTGCTTCATAAACAACAGACATAAATAATGCTGTCCCAAAATGAAAATCAGTTATCAAATATCTATCATTAAATCTGATCAATCATATTTAACAAAGAGGATCTAAATTTGAACTCTTATTAATACATGTATATGAATCTATTCACCTAGAAATGCAGTAAAAAAAATTAGCTGTTCTTATTTTGTGCATGATCCCCAAACAAGTATTAAATGTGAAGTTTTTCTTTGCCATTGGTAAACTTTCTATGAATTTGATTACCACTGTGTACTTTGAGTAAAAGCTGTAGAGTAATTAGATTTATCGGAGCAGGAAGTATGAAAAATGTGAATTCCCTTGCCAGGATTTAAACTCCGGACCTTCCGATTGCCTCTATAAATTTACCTATTTATAGCTAAAATTCTGTAGATGAAACAAAGATAATCAAACAATGTTTTTTTCACCGAAGGCAAACTTTCTTTCCAGATTTGCCATGTCTTTTCTTTCATTAGCCTTAGGTCAAGAAAATACATTGCTGGCCATTAAAATTGCAACACCAGGAAGGAATGATCTGACGAGCCTCAAAATCACATGAAAGGAAGAACTTGAGATATGCAAATCATTAGTATTTTAGTGCATTTAGATGATGGAGGAGGGAGAAACGACATCTGCATTAAAAAAAGGCTGTGTAGTGTATTTCTTGCTAAGAAAGCACTTTGTAAGGTCAGAGTTTGCTCAGAATATAGTGTTATGCCTCGAATAATAATATGAAAATTCTTACCAGCAAGTGTCAAAATTTAATAAAGGTAGGATCGTTGCCTATCGAGAGTGCAGATTATCATTCCAATATATCGCGCGCCTTACTAGTCGACACCCAACTGCTGTCATGTGAATATGGAATCAATGGGTTGCTGAGGGTCGTACTAACGCCATGCAGGATCTCAATGTGTTTCCATGACTAATGCTCAAGAGGTCAGACCTATTGTAACCTGCAAAACTGTGCAGCCATATAACTGACCATTAGTCAGAAAATGGGCATGTATGCAGCATGCCTAGTATGGGCTCATATGGTGCATCGACGTTTGCAGCAGCATAGACTATCAGAACAGCTACTATTCAGCTTCCCTTGACATTGCAGCATAGAAAGAGATGGTGACTGTGGTGCACCAAATGCAAAATTGGGTACAGGAGTTGCAAAATGTCTTTTGAGACAAGTCCCAGTTCTGCGTGCAATATTCTGATTGCCATATATGTGTCTGGAAGCTCTGAGGAGACTACACGTATCCTGCTTGCATTCAGTATCGGTATAGGGGCTCTGCACCTGGTGTGATGGATTAGACAGCTATTGGGTGGACCGCACACACATCTCTAGTTCAGATCGATGGTAATTTGAATGCAAATCGGTACATTTCTGACATCTTGCCTCCAGTGGTTGTACCCTATCTTCGAGGCTTGCCAAAATGCCATCTTCCAACAAGAAAATGCAAGACCACATGTTGCACGTCATATTCTGACCTTCCTCGATGCACAGTTTATTCAATTGCTGCTCTGGCCTCCAGTCCCCAGATTCCACCATTGAAAACATCTGGTCGTGGGTTGCTGAGAGATGGGCCTGCCACCACTCTCCAGCTACAGTTGATGAAGTGTGGCATAGAGTTGAAGCATGCAGGCATGGTGTCCATGTTTATCTTTCAATGCCAGTAGTGTTCATTTGTGCTTCAGATCTTTTCTTTTCACACAATCGATTCTGCAGATGTGCAGACATGTTATGACCAGGGATGCGTCTGTTGGGAATTGGAATGATACAGCTGCTTAGCGGCTGCCCCACTGCAGTTAGCTGCCCTGTAAATGCGGTTCATATCTACATATCCGGTTTGCTGAGTTGTTTGAGCAGTTCATACTTTCCCACTCTTATACATGCGAATAATGCTTTCTGTTGCTTCATCCTGACCAGTCTTCTAATATTCAGCACCCTCTTATGCATCAGGGTTGTGCCTCGTGACTCTTATGTTTTCATATGATTATTGCATGTTATCATATTCCAGATTTCCATGCACATTTCTGAGGTATGGTTCCAAAATGCCCTGTATATGCAAGTCAATAAATGTGCAGTTCAGAGTCTAAACTTGTTTTGAATTGAGTGCAATTTTATGATATCTGGGATGTACCAAAATCTGTTATAACATTAATATAAATGATGCATCCCAGACATCACTGTGCATCAAAGTATTACTTTGTATGGAAACCCAGTTTTATTATCATTTATATCAGTAATTGAAAATAATCTTAACCCAGGGGTGTGAATTTCTGTTGTCAAATTAAGAACAAGGAATAATGGGCAGAATTGGTTTTCCATTGTTTACCCGATTTCTTCTGAGTCTGATAATTTTTTTCCCAAAATTATAGCTGTCATTAATTATCTGTGCCATTATCAGAAATACTTATTTTAAATTTTTTTTTATAGAATGTTTTACCAGATTGTATTTGAGTAAACTTTGAATGTAAATTTTCCATATTGTATACATTCTGATTTCATTGCCATTAATATGATGTGCAGTTCTTTTTAAAAATATGTTTGTCTTATTTTTTAATTATATTGTGATTTTCATATACAATTCTAATATTTCAAGGTATTTATGTAATAAGAGCATAAATGCATGATATTCTGAAAATTTCAATCTTTTTCTTTTTGTGTACATTTTCCGCATGTAAGTTAAATCCTTTATTATTGTGCAGGTTTTTTTATGATAAATTTTATTTTAGGCAAATTATGGATTGTTAAAATCACTATTTTTCATTAAATATCTAATTTTTTAGTCCTGTTGTACTAGTGTGAGTGGATTGTGACTGTTACAAAGTGCTAAAAACTGTGTAACTTTTCAGTAGCTATTAATTAATAATATTTTCCATTTTTATTATTTAATTTAACATTTATCAATTTATTTAAATATTTTTAATAGATACTAGTGGCTTGAATTCTACTAATGATCCAGATATGATGGTAAGAAAATCTTTTAATTTGATTTATTTAATCTTTCTAAAATTTCTATTTATTCTTTCTAAAATTGCTGCATGATAAATTTGCTTTTTTAATTGTAAAATTTATCATTCATGAATTGAAAGTTACCAATTTCCTAACTTTTAAGAGTAATTCTTTTTAGCTTCTTGGTTGGAACCTTTAAGTGGTAAATGTCATTAGAACAGGGTTGCTGTGCTACCTGGAAAACCGGGTAAAGTCAGGGAATTTAAAAAATAGACCAAAAAAAAAAAGTCAGGGAATATGAATATTTTATCTCAAATCTAGAAAAGTCAGGTAATTTCATATGGTGATTCTTTGAAAAAGCGATTTGGGGCCAATGTTGAGAGCAGATCACTTTCTTGGTGAATTATATATCTCATGAGCGTCATTCTGGCAGCCGGTGTAGAGCCAGTTTTCACAGCGCCAATCAGATTGTCTTTCAGAAAGGGCAAGAAAATTTCCAGTATCTTTGATTTCCAGTGACCTCCAGATTTCATAGAGCATGACTCTCATGTTCTTTCGAAGAAAAAGAAATCTGTGCATGCTGAATTAAAGAAAATTCTGGCTCTTGATTTAGAAAGTTTGTTTTCTTTTGTCATCTCCAATTAAAATATCTGGTAAGTGAAACTTGTAATCTTTTCTACATTATTAACTATTCAACTAAACATTCTGTTGTGTTTGCTTGTTAAAATCATGAGATGGGTTTGTTAAGTTAAAAGAAATATGCACTTTGAATCGTATTATTGTGCATTATTAAAAGAATCAAATTGAACTGTTAAACTTTTCGCCATTGTTCTTGGCAGGGATATATCATGATTATTGGACTTCAAAATTATGCAAGAATGTATGATACTTTGTTTGATAAATGCCAAAATATTTATTTTATATGAACTTGGTTTTTTGTTGTTTTCATTTTTAGATAATCCACATTTAAAGAAACAAACAGCGGCGAAACTTGCAGCCAAATTCAGAAACAGGCATATTACAGTCTTGCTTCCCCTTTTTTTATGCACTTCATGTAGTAAAACTAATTAATCGATCCCGCTGCCTCTTGAAATTTCTGACTTCGTTCAACTCCTTCTCCCCATTCTCATACAAAACAAAATCTTTTAAGTATTTTTTCTTTATAATAAATATTTGTCATTTTGCATTAACAATTTTTTTAAAAAAATAGTAATCTGTAACCATTTGATATATATATTATTTGACAAAATACCATTGATTTATGTAATTCAACTTTTAATCTTTTTCACTCTTTAACTAAATAACCTGATTATAATGTTATTCATGTCATTTGATGTGGTTTCTTCCTTCTAAATTGATTTATTATTAGTTAATAATGTAGGTGTTTGACAAAAATATGGAAACACCGCCTAAAATGTATGTTTGAACTGAAATGTTTATTTTCTCAAAAGTTGTTAGTGGTGCTGATGTGTTTGCTCACTAATGCCACCTGTGCAACATTATCAATACATTGCAACTGTCATTCATTATTGAGACAGTGTTTTGTTGAGTTGTGAGTGCATCATGTTGGAACTTAATGAATTCGAATGTGGGCAAATTGTTGGGGCTTGTATAGTGGCCATAACCAAGGTAGCTGAAGTGTTTGATGTTTCAAGAGGCAGAGTATCTAATATTTTTAACTCTTGAGAGAAAAACTGGAAAAACCACTTTCATTAAATCACAGCACAGATGAAATTGTGTGTTGAATAATGGTGACAGACAATTGCTGAAGAGGATTGTAATGAAAAGTAAGAGGACCACAGCTGAAAAAGTGACTGGTGAACTTATTGTTGTTACAAACCCTGTCAGCACCAAAACAATATGAAGGGAGCTCCACAAGGAGGGCATTTTGGAGCAAGCTGCAATTCAAAAGCCACTCATTGGGGATCAAGATGTCTGTAAGAGGAAAAACTGGTGCTAAGAATGAAACATGGCAGGTTTTTGGTCATGGTTTGGACAGCCATATCCTACTATTTCATGGGACCCATCATTACTGTGCAAGATCACATTACTGATAAGGATTATGTGACCATTTGGCTGATCACATCCATCCCATGGTACAAATTTTGTTCCCCAATGCTGATGCCGTATTCCAAGATGACAGGCTTCCTGTTCCATTCTGCTCACATCGCCCACAACTGGTCTGAGCATAAATGTGAACATTCACATCTACCGTGGTAACCACTGTCTCCAGATATCAATATTATTGAGCCTTTATGGGCTATTTTGGAGGGAAATCTGCATGAGCACTATCCACCACCATCATTGTTAATTGAACTTGTCAATGTTTCACAGAAAGAATGGTACAGGATTCCCTTGCAAAGCATATATGACCTCTGTTTATCCATTCCAAGATGAGTGTAAGCTGTTTTGAATGCCTACAGTTTTCGTGCACTGTATTAGTCACAGCAGTATGTTTTTATTTCGGTGTTTCCATATTTTAGTCAAACCCCTCTACTATAACATTTCAGGCAGTTTCCTCTGGCATAGTCGTGAAACTAATTCTATCAGCGTGATGACATACCATCATGAAACTTAGTACACTCATGTTTTACTTATACATGTAAAATACTTGAATTTATTTAAAGATATTTTTAGTTCCCCCTCTGTAGCTGTAATATGTCTGCAAAAAAAGACATTTTTTAATCGAGATGAGGCAGATTCTGATCTCAGTCTTGAATAGAACCCACAGTTGAACACTTCGTGGCAAGATGCATGTTTCGCCAAAAAAAATATCATGCTTAGTAACATCGGAAGCAAGGCAGTCACAAGTTACATAAACAGTGCAAAGTATAAGAAAATCATTTTATGAGGATAAACTCAAATTTAAAAAAAAAAAAAGGATGTTACATATACAGATAAAAATAATTCTAAAGTACAACAATCTCCTGAACCAGTTGCTGAATCATCAAATTTAAACTCCTTCTTAAAGAAGGACAAAGTGCTAGCTGTGGAATTACTGTAAACTGTGAAGCTTGTTTGTTTACATGCTTCTTTTAATGCATTTAATGATGCTGCCCTTCTGTTTCAGAAAATATTTGATGACAGCAATAAAGCTAAAGCTATAACCCTTGGATGCACAAAAATGCCATGTTTATTGTCATTTAATTTAGCTCCAAACTTCAAAATGTTGCTTAAGAATACTGAATTCATAATGTGCATCATTGAAGCTGTAAATAGAATACAGGTCCAGAGAGATCAAATTGCCCTTTTGTTAGATTTTCGAAGGAATGAAGTGAGCACCAGGCACCTGTCAGTTTTTTTTTTTTTTTTTAATCAGGGAGGGACTTGCTAATGCTAATGATCCTCTGAGAATGTTTTTTTTTTTTTTTAATGGACCCTTAAAAGTAGATAAATACTCTAAATCTCTTTTTGTGTGTTCTAATCAAAAACTTCTAATCAAAAATCGCACTTCTAATCAAAAATTACATTTCATTTGCGATATATATGCTTATATTAAAAGTTTTTCATCAGAAGTGTGTTGACTTCTTTAAAAAAACTGCTTTTTTAACCTTTAAGAATTTATCAACTGTCATAATATTACAGAAGTGATTGTTCAGCAACTATATACAATTGATATGGATAAATGTAACTGCTACACCATTGCCGTTTTGGAAACGATAACGTCCATTCCAGAATTTAGTTATAATGCCGTTTTAAACAATAAAGCTGTCATTCCTGATATAATTTATCGCAATTAAAGGTGGAAAGAATTCAGTGTTTAAAACTTTATACATAGCATTGAAAAATCAGTGACTTTTATTTCTGATTTTGTTTATTACTTAGATGGAATGAAATTGTAAGTACACTGCTGGCCACCGTAAATGCAACACTCTGAAGGAAGCATGCAGATAACATGAAATTTACAACGTGCATTAGTGGAGGTGAGATATGCAAATGATTAGAATTTCAGTGCAGACGCACATCACGCGTGCCTGTGGCGCTATTTAAAGCTTGGAGTTTTCGACGATTTCAAGTTCGGCAATTGTGTTTTTCTTGTGGTTTTTTTCACAAAAAAAAAAAAAAAAAAAAAAAAAAAGATCAATAATGCCTCGTAGTAAACAGTGATCATCGTTTGATCAAGAATCTGAATTCGACAAAGGAAGGATAGTCTCCTACCGAGAGTGTGGATAATCTTTCAGGAAAATCAGTAGTCGTGTTGGACGAAACCAAACAGCTGTAATGCAGATATGTGACCGTTGGATGCAGGAGGGTGTGACAGACCGACGTGTTCGATCGCATCCACCTCAGTGCACCACTTCATGTAATGACAGGAACATTGTGCACATGTTAGTGACGGATCGCTCAGTCACATCACGAACCATAGCGCAGCACATTCAGTCTGTAACGCATCATCAAGTGTGTGTGTGTACCATTCGACGCTGTTTACGACAGAATGGTCTGTCACCAAGACGTCCAATTGCTTCGTCTACCCTTCACACAGAACCACAGAGGTGTCCGCCGCATGAAAGAAGGGTGTGGATGGCAGAATGGAATGAAATTGTCTTTACTGACGAATCAGGCTTCTGTCTGCAACACCACGATGGTCGGATTCGAGTCTAGAGACACCATGGAGAGAGGATGCTGAACAGCTGCGTTATGCACCGCCACACTGGTCCTGCACTGGATATTATGGTATGGGGTGATATTGCACATCACTCTCGCACTCCTCTAGTATGCATTGCCGGTACTTTAAACAGGCAGCGTTACATCTCCGAGGTGTTGGAGCCAGTTGTCTTCCTTACCTTCAGGGCTTGCCCACAGCCATATTTCAACAGGATAATGTGCAACCACACATGGCAGGCATTGTCCAAGGGTTCTTAATCAATCGCCAGATTGAATTGCTTCCCCTGGTCGCCTCGCTCTCCGGATCTTTCACAGATAGAAAACATGTGGTCCATGGTTGCGGAACGATTGACTCAGATTACATCCCAAGATGCCACACCTGATCAACTTTGGCAACGTGTGGAAGCTGCTTG